GAGCACCCAGGGGGCATCCCTGCTGGGCTCTGCAGGCCGGTCAGCGGTAACCCCCGCCCCCGCTGAGAGCCGGACAGTCTGGCCATTCACGTCCCCCACCAGGAGTGGGTGCAAGGGGAGGCAAGGTAGCCACCAGCGGGCGCAGCAGCGGTTTCTAAGGGCGGGACTCGAGGAGGGGGAGATAGTCACTCCTCGTGAGCTCACTCGAGCCGGCTTCCCAGCGTGGATTCTCTCAGCGGGGCGGGGGGAGGGAGCCCCATCCCAGTCATGCCCCACATTCCCTCTCATTTCTTCCATCTGTGTGGAATAAATTTTATTCTGTGCACCAAGGTATGTGTGGATGGGCACCACCCCTAGACACACAGGGCAGTGGGCGCTCTGCTCATCAGCTGGGCGGCAGTGGAATCTCTTCTGGGCGGCTGCCGCAGCGCACAGCTCCCAGGGAACGCTGGTCACTCCCCTCTGCCACCGCCACGGTACAGCCAGACATTTATTTGCCACGTAACTACAAAGCTTCCCACAGCAGGAGATGGGTGGCGGCCGCATTTACACGTGGGCTGCAGATCGGGTGGCACAGGATCCATGCTGCTAGCCCCAAGGCCTGGGGTCCCCACTCCGGGACTGAGGTCAGAGCTGGCGAGAGAGGGTCTCCCATGAGCAGCCAGAGACCGGTGTGGTGCCGTTGACCCGTTACTCCTGCGCACGCCCTGCCGCTCTGATCTCCCGCAGCCTGGGAGCAGCTGAAGCAGGCTCAGTGGGGCAAGTGGAGTTCCCGCTACCAGGTAAAGTCCAACCTGTGGAACTCCTTGACGAGGGATGTTGTGAAGAGCAGGACTTCAACAGCATTCAAAAAAGAGCTTGGTAAATACATGGAAGTTCGGTCCATCAAGGGCTATTAGCCAGGATGGGCAGGAATGGTGTCCCTGGCCTGTGTGTCAGAAGCTGGGACGGGGTGACAGAGGAGGGATCACGGGATGGTTCCCTGGTCTGTTCGCTCCCTCTGGGGCCCCTGGCACTGGCCACTGTTGGCAGACAGGACCCGGGGCTGGATGGGCCTTTGGGCTGAGCCATCTGGCCGTTCTTACGCTTACTGCCGCAGACACAGAACAAACTCCCCCTCCCCTCCCACCCAGGGGCTTGGCGCGGCCCTCTCCCGTGGCACAGACTGGTGGCAGAGCCATTTCCCACTGAAGTCAGCGCGCCCACGAGGGGGTGACCCCGAGCCCCCCAGCCAGGTTTGGATTCCCGCCGAAGAGACACCCCCGGAGCCAGGCCTCAGAGCCCCCGTGCTGGCGAGCGGTTCCGAGCCCCCCTTTCAATCACACCAGCCCCGGGACCCCGCCCTCGCCT